TAAATGATCATACAATTCAGCAATGGCACTTGTCTCAGTGGGTCCCTAGATCAAATCTGTGCCTGGAAATGGCTCTTAGTTTTTTGAATGCTCAGTCTGAGAAATAAAACTTTTTCCTGTTTTATCAATAATTCTTTTTAAAAAATATTTTTATGTAATTAATTAATTTTTTTTACAGATGGATCTCCCCTTTCCCCCATTGACACCCTCCTCTCATTCCTGCCCCCCTCTTCCCCAGCATTGTTGTCTATGTCTATTGGTTATGCTTAAATGCATAAGTTCTTTGGTTTATCTCTTCCCTCCCCCCACACCCACCACCTCCTCCTCTGAAGTTTGTCAGTCTGGACCTTACTTCTATGTCTCTGGGTCGATTTTGTTCATCACCCTATTTTGTTCATTATATTCCACAAGTAAGTGAGATCATGTGATACTTGTCTTTCTCTGACTGGCTTATTTCACTTAGCATAATACTCTCCATGTCCCTCCACGTTGTCTCAAAGGATAAGAGATCTTTCTTTCTGACAGTTGCATAGTATTCCATTGTGTATTATGTACCAAAGATTTTTTATCCACTCATCTATTGATGAACATTTGGGCTGTTTCAAGATCTTAGCAATTGTAAATAGTGTTGCTATGAACATGGGGGTACATATATTCTTTCTGATTGGTGTTTCAGGCTTCTTAGATAGATTCCTAGAAGTGGAATCACTGAGTCGAATGGCAGATCAATTTTTACTTTTTTGAGGAAACACCATATTGTTTTCCACAGTGGCTACACCAGTCTACATTCCCACCAGCAGTGTACTAGAGTCCCCTTTTCTCCACACCCTCTCCAACACTTGTTGTTTGATGATTTGTTGATGGTAGCCATTCTGACAGGTGTGAGGTGATACCTCATTGTTGTTTTAATTTGCATCTCTCTGATGACTAGTGCTGTTGAGGATTTCTTCATATGTCTCTTAGCCATTTGTATGTCCTGTTTGGAGAGGTGTCTATTTACCTCCTCTGCCCATTTTTAAATTGGATTCCCTGTCTTTCTTTTGTTGAGTTGTATGAGTACTCTATACATTTTGGAAATTAACCTCTTATCTGATGCATTTTTGGCAATTATATATGAAACAATTAAAGAATAACACAATGTACTATATAGTTTAGAATACAAAGTATTATTTACTAATACTTTTTATGTAATTATGATTAAATAATTATTCAATAATTGTTAGCTATGTGAAACTATCGAATAGTAGATATTGGAGCAGGATCTCATATATGAGAACTGTACACATCAGGAATGGCTTTTTTTCTATAAAAAGGAGACATTTTTAGGGGTCTTGAAATTCTGTAGAATATGGGAATATAGATAGAAAAAGAGTACATACTAGAATCCCAGTAATCATTTTGAGGGTGACTTGGATTTAGTATTCTACAGATACCATTAGTAAATTTATCTATTTTGATTATTACTGGAAAGAAGGACAGTTTTCTGGAGAACACTGAAGGCATCATTTAATACTCATGGAACTTCTTATTTGATGCATCTGCTTTTGCATAAAAACAAACAGTAGCTAAAGTTTGACATTAAATTCATGAAAACTTTAATGCAATACTTGCTAAGCATAAATGATTAAACACTCTTTATCTTGTGGTCTTTGGTGTAATGCATCAAATATGTGAATCCTAGAAAGTGAAAGTGGTTGCAAAAAATCAAATCAATATAAGAGTAAATGAAACAGTTATTCTAATTTGGCAGAAACTTACAAAATGCAGTAGACCCTGTAGACCACATTTGTCATTGCCATTTTGATGCACTAATAGATACTAGGTATAAGGGAAATGGTCACAAAGCAGACTCTCTCTCTCTCTCTCTCTATATATATATATATATATATATACACACACACACACACACACATATATATATATATGTTTTAATAAGATTTTTTAAATATGTTTTTATTGATCTTTTTTTTAGAGAGAGAGGAAAGGAGAAAGAGGTAGAAACAATGTGAGAAACATTGATCAACTTCTTCCTGCACGCCCCCTTCTGGGGATCAAGCCTGCAACCCAGGCTTGTGCCCTGACCAGGAATTGAACTGGAACCTCTCAGTCCATGGAACAATGTTCAATCCACTGAGCCACATCGGCTGGGCCAAAATTATTTATATTTAAAAATATAACTAGAGTATGTATAAAATAACTACAGCACATTAAAATCAGCGGAAAGGAAACATTTATTATTTAGTCCTTATTCCCATGCAATGTAAGAATTATTTTTATAGTATCACTCATAGATAGTCAGATACCTTCTGCTTGAATAGGTGTAATATCCTACTACTTCTCCAAGAAGTCTATTTTATATAGCTATAATTCATGGGCAGCTTTGCCTTCTGCTTAACTGGAATTTACCTCCCTGTAACTTTTGTTTTATGATCCAAGTTTTTCTCTCTAAAACTTCAGAGGAATAGTTTAATTTAAATAAGTTCACTTAATAAATATAGACTAGCTCTTCCAGAGACTGGGGTGAGTGCGGCATACAAAATTGAATGACACATTTATTTACCTCGCTCCTCTGACTTGACAGCTAGTCAAATTCCAGAAGACAAATTTTACATTCTCCTTGATTCTTTTCTATAAATCAAAGATCTCCAGGTCCCTGAACCATATTACGATCCTTTATAATCTAAATTACTCAATTTTGAAATTTGTACAATTAAATTACTAGTCTAATTAAAATTTTAACATAAAACTATTAAATGGTGATTTTACTATTATAATATTTTGCATCTGAGAACAGATCCTCTATATAGAAGTTGCTGGGGGAATTGGGGGCAAAAAATGGTTTAATGGTCCCTTAGCTGATCTTCAATCTCAAGAATACATAAGAAATAAGAATGACAAGAGAAAAATTATTGGTGGTGATTTCTGTGGAGGGAGTTGTTGGAGTGCTAGGCATTTCTCTATTCCCACTGATATTTCTCTTATTTTCATTTCCACAATACAAGCCAAGGGCGAGTGAGTTTTGTAAGAGACTACTCAGAGAAGCTTGAGATGTGTTCCCTGGAGTTAGGACAACTTTTACCTGAAAACATTTAGAAATACGAGACTTAAAGTATCTATTTCTAGTAGAAAAAGAGGGTTGCAGTGGTCAAGGCTATACTTCCATTGATAGTGAAGCAAAAATGCAAGTGTCCCATGGACCAGAAGGGACACAAAAAAGGCTGCTGAACTTCGGATATTCTGAAAGGCCCCCACCTCAAAGATCTGGCTGTGATGGCTAAGCAAAAGTATGAGGTACCACTAAAACAGGAGCTGAGGAGAGAGTGATAAGCTGCCAGATGGAAGAGACCCTTCCCATGCTAAGAAATATTGTTCTGGGGGAGTTGTCTCCAAAGCAGCAAAAACAATTATGGTATACTGATTGAAATAATGTCTCCAGTTCCTTATCCTTCAAGTATGTAAACCATTTGCAATGTAATATTATAGTTGAATACAGGCTGGTTTTATGACTTGCTTTGGCCAAGAGAATGCAGTACAAGTGCCAGTATGCTAGTTTCCAGCCTAAGTATCAAGCCATTTTGCATGCAGCTGCTGGTGGTTCTGGTGCTGCTGCTTTGCCCCCCGCCCTCCTCTGCATCCATCTCTTCCTCCTCTACTTCCTGTTAATTTCAGCCAAAGCTGGAGACCAAGAGGAATCTATAAATTGAGTGAGAGGCTCAGATTTAGATTTTAGACTTTAATGCCTAAAATTAAAACTGCTCATAACTAAGAGTACCTGAAAAGGCTATGAGAAGTACTCATGTGGGAACAGTTCTGAAATCCAAACAAGCAAGATATGATATAGGATATTTAAAGACACTTTCCCACATTTAAAGAGATATGTGGGAAAAAATGAAGTTATTTGATAATTTCACCCCCACTGAACTCAACTCATTCAAGAAACTGCCTATATGTGTTTTTTAGTTATAAATATCTTAGTAAATAAGGTACTTTCTCAACATTTTCTCCAAGTTAACCCACTTTTTATTGGAAATACAATATTATTTTAAAACATATCAGTTTTTGTAGGGGCCATAATTTTATTACATTATTTTTGGTTAATAATTTCTTTATGATAATCAACACATTCAACCATATCCCACATTAACTGATCACAGTACCATACTTCACCATTCTCTTTTTTTCTCCTTGAAACCACCTAAAACAATAACAGAAACATTTGTAGAAAAACAAAACAAAACAAAACAAAAAAAAAAAAAACAGAAAAAAAATACAATTCATAAATTGCAAAATTAAAGGCTGATAAAAATAACTGAGGTTAGGTAGAAGCTATAGGGGAAAAGACAAAAGGGAAGATGTGGGGGCCATGTGGCAGGACACCTCAGAAAGAGGGAACAGCAATATTCTGAACATGGGGAGCTCATGCTGAAATGCAAAAGCCAGATCCTCTTGTGTAGCAATCCAAACAGGAACCAAGCTGAGACTGGCTAGAAGCCATGGGAAGTGTTGCACAGAGAGATATAGATAGTGTCAGTGAGCCTTGGGGACCATAAATCTCACAGAAACCCCAAATAATATACATCCGAAAGTTCAGAGATGAGACACTTGGTTTTACCTAACATATTTTGGTGATAGAAGCTAGTTTTTTATTTTTGTTTTTTCAGTGGAATGAGACATTTCATTGTCTCTAGGGTGCTTCTGGGTTGGGGATTACGGGAGCATTTGGCAGAGCCCTGGCTAATGGAACCAAAAAAGTGCCCGTCAGCCAGTGCTGGGCAGGGTGGTAGCCCCAGGGCCTAGATAATTTCTGAGACTACTCAGTGGGTAAGGAATGTTGCCTCATAATGGAGGAGAGGTGGCTACAGTTAGAGGGAAGAGGAAGAGAGGCTTGGGTTGAGAGGAGGGGATCCAAGGTCAGAAGGTTAGGAATAATAGGGTCATTCATGGCTGGTGATGGCTGGGGAATGTGGTGACAGAGTCCAGTGGGCCGACCTGGGCTTGACTCAGGCCAGTTTCAGGAACTCTTGCAGTGTGTTTTGTGCCACAGCCTCCACAAAGAGTTCATAATCTCCAAAGTGCTGGTCCCCACTGACAATCTGGGGTGGGGTGGCCTTAGGGTTGTCCATGAAGACTTGCATCTTATCCCACAGGAAGTTGCCCTGGGAGATATCCTCTAGCTGGTACTGGATGTGCTTCCCATCCAGGATGCAGGTCACCTCACTCTGCTGGGACTTGATTTCCCGACCATCGGTGACAGACATGCTATAGATCTGTAGAGGCTCATACTGAAGATGAATGAATGGGTGAACAGGTGACTGTAGCTAACCTGGAGACTAGAAGCTAGTTTTATTTTTTTAAGCTAATACTTTTAATCTAAACTTCTGAATAAGATAAAAAGCCAGAACCCAACCTCAAGGATAAAATATACTTTAATTATAATCATGGCTAAAATTAATTCCATCATTTGTATATTTCTATGTGAATTTAATGCAACTGGTAGAATGGAATTCAGTCACTGAAGCACATTATTTTATTTTCACAGTGGTTTCTATAATACTGCTTATTACAAGGGCATAGAATTATTTTTTTGTAAATTACTCTAATATGTAGTTTTTTCCCCTTCTTTCAGTATTAGATATACTTAAATGTAGAATAGAATGACTTCAGACCATCAATTACTTTACACTATCATCTCTCCACAATTGAGTGGTTAATAAAGAGAAAAATAAAAAAATAAATATATATTAACTTCCTAAAAGGAATATGAAATGTAAAGTATAGCCTACTTTTAAATATCTAACTTCACTAAGCTAATATCATTATAGGAAAAAATATCAGTCCATTTATTGAAAAAAATGATAATTTGTTAAGCCTTATTATGGTTATTATTTGTAATTTTTCTCCCTTCACATATTACCATTGTGAAAGTAAATGTATTTTCCTGAAGGATTACTTTTCTACATTCTTTTTTTTTTCTCTTTGAAATGGTACTGCAACTGAGGTATCTATAACTAACTACATAGTCCCTTTTCCAGGAAGACAAATGTTTAAATTAATATTTAAGCTAAATTGCATTCACTTTAACTCATCCCTGTTTTGTAACTTTGTTATATCACCAAAGCCTGGCTATTTTCCAGATTTTTGTGGTTTATCATCAACAGCCAGAAGAAGATAGATACACTGGTTGCTCGATCCTTTATTTCTTGGGCCAAAGAGAGATAAATATAAAGTTATATATATATATATATATATATATATATATTTTAATCCTCACCTGAGGTCATTTTTCCATTTTTTGTTCAGGTAGAGTGAGAGGGAAAGAGAGGAAGGGAGAGAGAGAGAAACATCGACGAGAAAGGGACACATCGAGTGACCTCCTCCCGCACAACCCAACCAGGGCCAGGGACAAACTGCAACTGAGGTACATGCCCTCAGCGGGAACCGAACCCGGGTCTCTCTGGACCGCAGGCCAGTTCTCTAACCGCTGAGCCAAACCGGCCAGGGCTAAAGTTATATTTTAAATGCTTACACAGTTGTGAAATCAAGCAAATCATCTCTTCTTTGGTTTTACGTAGAGAAGTTGGGAGAATTGAAGAGAGCATAACTGGGTACTGTCATTTGAAAATGGTAAGCAGTGGCTGGTGTTGACCTTTCCAGAAGGCAATGAGGGGTTTGACCAACTGCATGAAATTTCCAATTTCCATATTAATTCAAAACTCTAATTGATGTTGCCATCAATTGCACACTTTACTCATCTGCACTGTGACAGAAGCACAGGACATATTCCATTTCTGCCCCAGGTGATTTCTGTCTGGTTTGCTCAGAATTTCAAAGTAATTGTGATTGGTTCAGAGAATTATAAAAGTTACTATAAATTAAGTTACCCTTCTAGAAATAAATATGTTGAAGAATAAGTGAGGTATTATTTGAACAAGCATAATAGAATCATGCAGGGATTTGGATGAAAGTGAAGAGTAAATGTTAAGGGCTTGACCTGAAATGGACAGAGTCTAAATCCCAGCCCTGCTACATACCGGCTGCATAACATTTAGCAGTTCCCTTAAATTCTGTAATCATTACCATTTTCATTATTGAAATTGAGTTAACAATTGTACTGGTGTGTAGGCTTGTTGGGAGAATTAAAAGTAATAATATATAGTAAAGGCTTAGTATAGTGCCTGGTATACAGTCAGCACTCAAGAAGTATTCACTATTATTGTTACTATGTTTGCAAAGAATCCTTAGAGCTATAAAGATTCATCATTGAGATCCACATGGAGTCTAAATTCTGGTGTTTAATTCCCCATAACATGGCCTATGTTGTCTTTGTTTCCCATGTCATCTCTTATATCCTTTTGTCTATGTGTCTTGCTAATCAGTACTTCTGTACATTTCTGGTCTTACATCTATTTTCATGGGAATTCTTCATTTTCTGCCTATTAAATACTTTAGGATTTAGCTTATACTTGACCTCTTTCCCAAAGTTTTCCCCTAAGATGGACTCATAGGATATTAACAGAAATCCCAGGACTGAAGGATTTCTTGGGACATGGGACTCAGACAATCTCAGGGAAACTTGAGACAAGTTTCAAGAGCTAGAAGAGATTCTAGAACTGACCAGAAAACAAAGCATCTAAGTGACTAAATAAGTTAACTGGGTAAGTGGTTTCATGAAAGAACTGGGATTGGAATGTGGGGTTCCAATTGCTCATGGCTACTTCTAGTTTCCCCCAAATTACTATGATATTTACAGTATGTTTTAAAGGGAGACAAAGGTGCATGAGAAAGCATAGATACTTGCAAGTGAAAATGCCTTAGTTTGAATACAGGCCCTACTACTTACTAGTATGTAAACTTGAACAACTAATTAAATATCCTTAATCCTCATTTTCCCCCATTTTTAAAATGAAATAATATTGCCTACTTCAAAAGTTCTTGTGAAGGTTAACTAAAATTTTAAATATTAATATACTATATAATAAATATATTTTATATATAAAATGTAAAAATTATATATATTTAATATAAAATGTAAGCATATATATAAAATTCACATATTTATATATAAAGTATATAAAATTTCTAATATATACATATATAAAGTGATATATTCATATCACTTAGCATAGTTTTTGGAAATAGTAAATAATCAATGTATCTTTTTATTGTTATTCTACCATTCATTTAGCATTTCTCTTCAATCTTTTTCATTCTTTTTTTCCCTTTTAGTGCCACACATTCATGTAGAAGTTTACTGTTTCTAAAGCCTATCTACATGTGACATGAGATTTGAACCTCTGAGCAACCCCTTCAAGCAATCCATTGACTAGTTTTATAGATGAGAAAATTGGATTCCAAGAAGTTGAGTAAATTCTCTAGGTTCACTTGTTGTAAGCAACAACATTGGGTCACAAAGTAAAATCTTCTGATTTATAGTCAAGTGCTTTTTAATTTTACTGTCTCCCTATATCTTTATTTTTTCTCACAAGTATGACTAATGTCTTCATTCCGATTGAGGCAAGGGCTTTTGATGGCAGCACTATCCACTGAGCTTCAGTGTAGTCAAGTCTTTGATAGTGTATTCAGGAGTCTCAACTATAAATTGCCTGAGTAATCTCTGCCCTACTTACCTTGGCAGAGAAATTATGACAATACATGGGAAATATAACCATGCACGTATTTTTGTAATTTCTTATGTGTTACACAAATATAGGGCATTTTGCCTATGACTGGCATTCAATCAATTCTTGTTGATTGGATTATGGGGTTTATGGTTAGAATTGGAGAAATGAAAGGGGAGTCGGATTATCTTTATATCTTTGTTTTGGTTTTAAGAAATACATGACACCTTTCAACTTTTATCTATCTATTCTCTTCTGAAACATTAAATTATAACCCCAGAAAATTTCTACATGCTCTGAAATCACAAAGTTAACATTTACCAAAAATGTTAAAAAATAAAAATAAAAAACTATTGCTGGGCTCAGTCATTTCACACTTGTAGTGTGCTCCCTTGGACAGTTAGGTGTGGTTTTATATGCACAAATGTTATCTCTCAAGGTAAACTGTAAACTCCTTGAGGGCAGGACAATGTTTTCCTTATTCCTAACCCTCATACCACCAAAGTAGTACCTTGTAATTCCTAAGGAATTAATTTAACTATTATTATTGTTGTTGATTTGTTTCTCCTTGTTAATTCCTCACAGGAAAGTTGAATTAGGCTCTGCTTATGTTTCAAGTCTCAAAGCCTAGAAATTGGCTTTCTGTCTCTTTGCCTCTCTTTTGCCAAATGTTCCATAGATTCATTTGGTCTAGCATCCCCAGTGTGCTATACGAACAGCATCATTTACCTCTAGTCCTGGTATGCTCTCCCACCTGGGAGAGTGGCAACAGCAGGGACAGAAATTTATTTGGATTTGTATCAGAGTAGTGTGAGGAGTCATTCAGACATTTCCACGAAGGCAGACACGTATTTCCCTCTTGCCTAAGGCTAACTCTTCTTGTTAGAGTGAAATGTTTCATTTTTAATGAACAGTGGATGCTTTTTGCACTTATTTATCTCTGAGAACTTCACCTGGAAAAACAATATGCTCATGTTATCTATGAAGCTGATGATTGGTTGAATAATGTGTGCATGGAGTTTTGCCTGAGTAAAATGAAACAGAAGACAGCTTCATCTTGGTTATGGATACTCAGCAACCACCATAGTCATCACTAATGAAAGAAAACTTGTCTTTATGTGCTGTTAGTAACTACACTCAAATGTAAAATTTCGCATTTGACAGCTTCAAGTTTATTGCCAGTGAAAGAAATGAGAGTGATGACTGTTCTTCCTTCTTGAGACAGGGTTTATTTTTTATGAAGGTTAGATAAGATGATGTGTGATAAAGCCTTAGAGCAACATAGAACACATCCTCCACCTTTGATGACAGACATCAGATTGGACCTGCAAAGAGTTTCCTAAAATAATCTCCTCTCTAATACTGCCCTTCAATCCTTGGTCCATGAGAGCATGAAGCAGAATCAGATGGGAAAGACACAATATTACCAGTTCTAAAGATGTCTTGTCCACAAGATACAGAATCTGTCCAAATAATGAATTTCTGTACAATCCCAGGAGGAATATTGCATGTGATAGTCAGATCCACTTCATTACCCAGTTATTTTATACCTTCCCAGGCTGTTAGTCAAATCACCCTGCTGCCTAGTAAGTTTCTAATTAATCTGGATTTCACTAATTATCCTGCAATTACATGGATTGGACTAATCTGCTTTAAAGAATTCTTTTGCTGTAGGTTTCAAAATTGTATTCATAGAATATGATGAAATGACATTTCAGTTGCATCCTCAATAATGAGTTTTTCCATAGGAAAGACAGCCAGGAACTATATTTTATTTCTTTCTCATACAATCTTTCTTTCAGGCAAATATTTTTCATCCAGGAAATCAAAGGTGTGTTTAAGAATAAAGTTTTATTTTTTTAAAAGCAAGGAATCAGGTTTGTGTTGCTGCTCCAGAGTCAAGACTGGGTAGAAATTAGGCACAGGTATATAGAATTCAACAGAATAATAAAATAAATGTCAAAGGTCAAACAAACCCTTATCTCAGCTCCAAATCTGCAAACCTCTGATGACTATCTTCCAAGAAGCAACACTGCCACCTGGCTGTATTAAATCAAGAAACAATGCTGACTCTTTCCTTTTCTAACCTAATCCTCTGGACCTTCAGTCTACACCTGGATTTCAAAATTCCCTAATTAGAATTTTGGAATTCTAGAAGATTTCAGTGGTATACCCAAGAACACAAAGTGCTAAAGCACAAAATCAGAATGTGATAATTGGAAAATATCTCAAATTTGTGAAAATGAAACTAGAAACTGAAGGACAAAGGTAGTGCTGTAATGCAGGTCTGAAAGCTTGAAGAAGAAAAGATTGGAAGGAGTGCATTAAACAGACTGACAATCTTATCAGGAAGGGAGGACAGAAAGAGATTAACTAAAGAACTTATTTACATATATGCATAACCCATGGACACAGACAATAGTGCAGTGAAGGCCTTGGGGTGGGGTGGGGAAGTGGGGTAGAAGGGTTAATGTGGACGGGAGGGACATCTGTAATACTTTCAACAATAAAGATAAATTTAAAAAAAGAAAAGAAAAAAATAAATGCAGGGAAATCAGTAGCTAGAAAGCAAATGAAGAAACTAATGAGAGATGATAGTGAGGACAGTTTAGGGAAAATTAAAAGAATTGTGAAAATATTAACTAATATTTAACAGTAGAATCAACTGGCTTCGATTCTTGGTAATAGTTTGAGAAGGTAAAGAGAAGAGAGTAATGATGCCTAGGTTTCTGATATTAGCAACAGAATAGATTATAGAGCCATTTATTGACATGAGGCCTGAAGGAGACTGGTTTGGGAAGAGCCCATATGTTCTCTTTTGATGTACTGGATTTGACGTACCTATAGTGATTTGAGTAGACTGTTCTTTGACAGTCTGCCTAACAGGTCTTAAAGAGGAGCAGTGTAAGATTATTTAAGGTTAGCTTTCAGCTATTACTAGAAGCAAATTATTTTCTTGTAGACATTTAAAGGATTATTTGCTGATCCCAGATAGCATTATCTTTTGATCCAAGGTAAAGGTAGCTACTGGAAAAGGTTGAGAAGGATGAACTGAAGTCTAGGACATGTCTAGTAAATAGCAAAGACATGTTTGGCAGGAACCAATTAGGACATTTTGAGAAAAGGGAACTAGTATTTCTTAAGCCTTTTCCATAGTGCTCAGCAGGACATAGTTAATATGTTAGACCATTTTAATACTCAGCCTTAGAAGACAGGGAATACTTCTACATTTAACTTTCTTTATTTGGTTAACTATTATATCATTCATTCCACAGTTTAATATTATTTCCTCAGGAAAGTCATCTTTAACTACAATACAATGTTCATTCCTTTTATTATTAACTTCAATGGTGCCCTGTGCCTCCCTTTGTTTATAAACATCTATTATCATTACTTATTCTATACCTGTTGTATCTGTCAGGTTAGGATAGCTTACATTGTTATAACAAGCATCCCCCCAAATATTAGAGGCTTGAGATACATTTTTTTCCTCACACTGTGTACTCAAAACAGATCAGCAGGAAGATCCTGCTCATGGTAGTTACTCAGGGATCAATGCTGACAATAGTTTTAATAGCTTACTCTTCTGACCCCAGGCATGACTGTGGCCATGGACAGTAGACAGGTGTGTGGGCAGGAGAGTTGGTGATGTGGGAACATGGATGAGGGAAGATGAAAATATGTGAATACATTCAATGGGAGATAACACCTTATCTTTTAAGAAGCCACTTCTGCAGGTTTTCTTGAGAGCAGTTCTGTAAGAACCCATAGGGTTGTTGCTCTTGGTCATCCTGTTCCTTGTGAACCCAGTGGAGGAAATTAGAGTGAGTGAACCTCAGGACCTACCAGCCCTGCCTCTGCTTGACTGGGGTGACAAGGGCCAGTAAGTAGTGTGGGTCCTTTCTGTGTTCAAGTGTCCCTTCAATTCACATTAACTTTTGGTAGGCCCACAACTATCTTAACCCTCCTAGGAAGAAGTGAAATTTTCCTCATCTAACTACAACTGTGTGTGGACTTCCAAGGCTGATAGTCAGGAAGAAATTTTGTGTTGCTCTCACTGTTGCAGGGTGGGTGGTCCCCTCAATTCTCAGGGTCCTCTCTTTGGCTCCTGAAACTACTTGTCAATTATCCATCTGCTGACCTGAGATTACTCCCATTGATGAGGTTCCTCACCTCCCTGACATGCCCTGGGAAGAAATGAACAAGACTCATTGTGTCACCATGTCTGGGTCACCCAGTTCTGATAGTAGGGACAGGGCTCTGTGTAGTTCACTTCTTTCTGGGAGAGGTCCCTCATTTTCACTCAGTGTCACCACCTTGACTCCTATTAGGAACTGGATCTCCTCCCAATGTTGAATGGGGCCACTCCCATTACACCCAAATACTTATGTTTATGAGACCACTCTTGGAGGAAATGAGAGGACACTTCAGCCGGAGAGTTCTAAACCTGGCTTCCTAGGACAGACTGCTTCGGTGGAACTTTGTGAGGCCTTCTCTGTTCTGGGGTAATTTTTTGTCTGGTTTTCCATGTAGGATTTGTACCTTGACATTTGTTATAGCCTGGGACTCCTTTATGTCTGTCTGTCTCTGTCTCCCCCCCCACCCCAAAATGGATAACCAGCCCTTGCACCAAGGCCGCCTAGGACCTTGCGGGAAAAAATTAGGGGTACCTGAGACTCCCAACTCTTCCCTGGGTCTCCTAAGGCTAATAGCAAGGATGGCATCAGGTGCAGTTCTCTCCACTATGTAGTGAGTGGTCTCCATTTCCTCTATCAGGATCTTCACCTTGACTCCACGCTCTTGCTGGGACTCAATATTCTGCCTACTTGAGATCTTGGCCCTCAGACAAAGATCCTTATAATCCTGGGATCTAAGTTGACAGAATGAATTAATTGGGGCCTTTGCCTGTTGACAACAGGGACAGGACTCTCTGACCCCATGGTTCTGGAGTCAGTAGCTCCCTCAGTCCCCATTTAGGACTTTAACCTTGAGTTCAGGTAGGATTTGGGATTCCTTTCTACAGACCTCAGTTTATAGGTCTCATACCAAAGCTCTAACATCCCCGAGTAGCTAGAAGAAAATTCAGGGTACACCACAACTGGCTACCTAGCCTGGAGATGCCCAAATCTGACAGTAGGGGTGCTGTCCTGTGCAGTTCTCTATTTTGATAAGAGGTCTGCTTATTAGTACTGAAAGAACTACCTTTAATCCTTTTAGGATCAAGACTCTTCCCTATGCCTAATAGCATTGCCACCCTTAAATAAGGGCAGTGGTCTACCTGAATCTACCTCCCTCCCAGGCAAAAATCAAGTGTAATCTCAGCCTGAATTACTTGAGGGTATTAAGGACTGGCAGCAGGATAGGGGCTCTGTGCAGTCACCTCTATGACTTTATTTTCATATATATTATATATATATATATATATATATATATATATATATATATATATATATATTTATATTTATATATATATGTATAATATACATATAAATGAATATATATATAAATATATATATATATATATTTATTTAATCTTAATATTTCAACTCTGAAGCCCACCATCTGTCTTAGGGCCTGGCCTGTACTCACAATTTTCACAGCGTTGTCTAGCCCACCATGCAGCTAGATGAAATACCCTCCCATACAGGGACTTCTATTTTCCCAAGGTCCAGCCCTGCCTTGCTTCAGGGCATTTACACTTGACTGCTCTCCTCTGGAACCACCTTTCTCTGTTCTTAACCTGTCTTTCATTTGGTTTTTCAGTCTTGGAGTGTATATTACCATTTTCCCGATATGATAGCTGCTTCTTGGCTCTATGATTTTTATGGACCGTGGCTAGGTCTTCTTTTTCTCAGCTCCCCCAGTACTAGCATGGAGCCTTCTAAGAGCAGATGTGCAATTACTGTTTGGGGAATAAATGAGCCTGTGAGCATGGGGTCTAATTTATTATGGTTTCATTCTAAATTCTTGAATTAGCCAAGCACATACTGTTATTTATAGCTTTATAAAACACAGAGTAAAAGGGATCGGGAAGCCCAATACTGACAATGTTACTTTGTTCTCTATTTACTGATTCCATATATTTTACTGCCTTATTTCTTTCCATTTGCAAGGAAATGCATATTCCAACGCCATGTTATCTTGCACCAGATGACTAAATAAGATAAGTTTCTCCAATTTGTTTTACAAAACAGCAAAGCTATTATTCTTAAACCTGGTAAACAACAAGAGTGACCAATATAATCAACTTAGATGATAATGCTCGATAAACCTTTATTTAGAAGTAACACCATTGAAAAACAGGAACAAATGAAAACACCGATGAATCTCCAAATTGCCCACAGAGAACAGGAACACTAAAGTACCACACACTGTGTTCCCTCAGTCACACCCAGCTCTCCATTACTTGGAACACTGACTGCTCTCTCTCTCTTCAACCACAACATGAAGAATCTGCTTCTATTTCACCAGGTGTGGGAGGAGCTGTGAGACATGACCTGGAATCATTCACTGCCATGGCGTTGGCGTCAGCCTTTAGTGGAATTGTGGCTTGGGCTCTTTCTTGCTCATCTTGCACAGCCTCTAAGTACCAGGGTGGGAAGGCGCTGGGGATGGTTCGATTAATCGTGGCCAAAAACTGCAGGACTTTGAGTTTGCTCGTCTCCGCATAGGCTCTTGGGCCCCACAGGAACTCGTAGCATGGAGGATTGCTGCTGGGCACCTGGCGGTACTCCAGGTACTTCAGCTTCACGAAATCTTGGGTAATGAGCTTCCTGGGCTCGCCAAATAAGAAGTGCCTCTTTCCAGCATATACTCTCATTTTATTTAGGAATTCCCAAATGTTCTGCTCAGTGGCACAGTTGCCTTTCAGGAAGATGACACCCAGGATATTCATCAGGAGACCGGTCTTGGGAAATCCCCTGCCACGGCTCACCCTCCCATTGTTGGGGAGATCCATTTTGCTGACAATGTCATAGGCATGCTTCGTAGCATCAACCACCTTTAAGTCAACACCAAATACCACCTCCATGCTGAAAGATGCTCTTCTGAGGATCTCAAGGAAGCGATTTTTGTACTTTTCAGGGACAATCTTGAGCATATCTGCTTCCCTAATAGGCTTTCTCATTTCGTACATCTGCATCAGGAACTGCACCAACATACCGGTCATCTTGGTTAGAGAGTCTCTTGGAGGCTGCACAGTGAGAGGCAGGGTCTTGGAGGAACTTTGCTTGTTCTCCATTGTGCTGTGGTGTTTCTCATGGATGCGGAGCTTATTTTTTCGGCGCCGAGGCATGATGACTATCAAAGACAGTAGGCAGAAGTGCGGTTAGGACAGCAGGTGACCTGGGCCTGAGAGGAGGGAGGATGAGAGGGTGTGAGCACCTTCATCACAGATATACTACTTTCACTTTAAGAAGGCCACTTCTGCAGCTTTCCTTGAGGGCAATGCTCTAGGAACCTACCGGGCTCCTGTTCTGATCAATGTGTCCTCTGAGAACCCTGTGGGAATCATTAAAGTGAGCCTCAGGCTGCAGCTGGGCAGCCCTGCCTAGTGCTTACTAGGGCTGACAGCAGCCATAGGCAGGTCGAGTCTTTGGGGAGCCCTCTCTGCTATGGAGGGTGGGAGCCCTCAGTTCCCATTCAAGGCCACCATTTCAACTTTTTGGCAGCGCCTGGGCCCCCTCTTCTACGCTGCTCTAAATTAGCACCTTAAACCCAGGTCCTCAACTTCTTGGGGCCTCTTAGAGGAACTAAAGGGGCAACTCTGCCCACCGCCCTTGCCAGGGGGCGCCCGTTGCTGACAGCTCCACGGGACTCACTATCCTGGGCTCGTTGGGGTCCTCAGTCCTCATTCAGGATTCTCACCTTCACTCTAGAAAAGGCCTGGGACACCTGCCTCTGCAGATCTGATGTCCATACTCTCAGAAAGACTCTCACCAACACAATGCCATCAAAATAAAAGAGAGTTAACATACCCCTGTCTTCCATGCCCAGTCTCCTCAGTGTTGTCTCCTATTTCGGTTGGGGGGGGTGGGTGGGTGAGTGGTACCACTAGTCTTCATTCAGGATTCTCCCCCTGGGTCCCCTCTCTCTGGAGAATTGAGGCTGTTCCGTGAGTCCAGCACCCTTACCTGTCCGGGACTTTCCAGACAGAAATGATGGGGATGGCTCAGATTGACATATTCTGGTGGTCTCGAAGTCCTCACGTAGGGTCCTCATTTGATACCCATCAGAGCTGGAGACTCCTCCCTCTACGGAACTGAGTCCGCCAACCTCCAAACAAAGCCCTCACCTCCTTGAGCTCCTAGGGGGGAGTCAGGGCCTGTCAAATGACTACACCTACCTGGAGACCCCCAGAACTGAGGGTAGGGCTGCTGTTCTGTGGTCCCACCTTTAACGGGAAGAGATCCCCTCACTAGCACCCAAGGCCGTCCCCTTGACTCTAGTTTGGGCCTAGATTTCCTTCTTCTGAAGAATGAGGGCTACGTGTTAGAGCGAGGCCTTCTTCCCTGAGAATGTCCAGGCAGACCGTAGGCAGAGGACTCTTAGAGATCTCTCATGGCTGATCACAGAAGCGGCAATTTGTAGGGCCACCTTTGTCATGGGAGTGGGTGTGGTCTCAACAGTCCACACTCAGATTCTCACCTTAGACTCCAGACCCGTGCTGGGACTCCACCGTCGACGGAAAAATACTGGCAGGCCAGTCTAAGCTCCTTGACGCCGAAGTGGAATTCTGGGTGAATCACGCACGTCCGGCTACGCCTGCCCAGGGTCTCCAAAGGCTCACAGCAGGGGTGAGGTCTGTGGGACCACCATACTTTAGGAGCTGGTGGTCTCTAGATCTTCGTTCAGGGTCCTCACCTTGGTATCTATCGGAGCCTGGCAAACCTCTACTGACGCGAGTCTGCTGGAGCCCAAGCAAAGCCCCCACATTCCTGAGAACGAATGGAGGTTGTCAGGACACACTGCTTATGATGTCTGCCCTTGACGTCACAGGCCTGCCTAGAGGGGCGGCACTCTGTGAGCCTCCCTCTAAAGAACTGGGACCTGATTCTGTTAGACAAAGCCCTTCTCTCCCTGAGATCACCAGGCAGAAATGAGGAGGCTTCTCAGCCTTTTAGCTGCCCCCGGGCTCTCTCGCAGTTAAGAACGATGGTGGGGGTGTGTAAAGCCCCCTCATTTGTGGGAGTAGTGCTCTCCTCTTTCCTCACTCAGGAACTGCACCTTGCTCCTGGCAGTCCTGGGACTCCACCCTCAGTGACCCAAAGTTTCTGTGCTCAGGTCAAGGTCCACTCCTTCCCGAGACCCGCCACATGGAAGTAAGAGTGAGCCACATTAGGCCAGGGATATTTGGGTCCAGAGGGGACGACCGCAGGGCCGAGTCTCTAAAGACCAGCACTGTCCTGGAGTCAGCAGTTCCCACATTCCTCATTCAGCGTCCTCGACTGGATATCTGTCCAACCTAGGATCCACCTTCTCCAGAACTGAGGCCATCCTCCTTAGGCCAAGGCCTTCACCTCACTGACAACCATGGGTACAAGAGGGGGTTCACACTCTGACTGCCCTGCCTGGGCTTTCTAGGTCTGAGAGCAGGTTTGGGCAGGTTTCTGAAAGACCCCCTACATTTGGGGGTGGGTTTCTCCCCAGTCCTCATTCACAGGGGTCCTCATTTTGTCTTCTGTCTTTTGAATGAACCGCTTCCTGGGAAATACCACATTCCTGAGAATTCTTGAGCAGTGTCCCTAAGGCGAACTTTGCAGGTTCACGTCCTAGACCTGGCATCAGTGACACGGGGGGCACACCACAGGGGAGGGCTGTCAGAGAGAAATGAGGCTGAGCTCTCCTTTTCAACAGTCGGAGTTATCCTTTTGGCTTCTGTTTTAATTGATTTGGGTCCTAACAGGAAGGAGATGTCCACGAGGGTTCCGTGATACCTGATTTTGAAGTTATGACACTGCATATAGAGATGATCATATTGTTACCGGATATGATCTATTTCTCCTCTGTATCCATAACTTTTGTTTTCCTGTGGTGTCCTTAGTTGCTTTGGCTGTGTGTTCTAATCCAGTTATTTCGGCCGAGAGTCCTTATTTTTATTCCCTGAGATACATTTTGGAATATTAAGGAACACAAAGTCTGCTTTAGGCAGAGTGGAATGGAATGAACGGTGTGGGCTCTAGAGGAATTCAGGTCAGTAGCCTTGTCCCAGCCCATCGCTTATTAGTCCTGTAAACTCGAGCATATGACCAAACTCCAAGACAGAGAAATCGCGATCACCCAAAATGCTGCTTAGCAAGGACAAATATGTCATAGATCCTCATCAGAGGATATAATATATAATCCGTGGGAGAGTCTGTCTCACTCAGATACAACTCAAATTCTTGGAAGTTTTGTCAGTGACTTATATCTCCCCTCCCAGCTGCCCTTCCATCTAAATCACCATCACTTTCTATTCACTTCACCACCAGTGCAAATCTAGACCCTGCCTAGCATTCACCAAATTACACGCAAGATAAGCTAAATTGAGAGCCTTTTTAATGGAGCCGTCTCTGACTCCTCATCCCAGGGTAAAGAGTAGCCAGTCCAGTGGATACTGGGCATCTCATACTGAGGGAAATTCGCCCTTATTGCTCAGAAACTCCCAGGTGATGGTGTGCATACAACATCTAGTCTGTGCTCTGTGTTCAATTGCACCGAGACAAGAGCATGAGGAACCTTCATCCCAACACCAGGTGGAGAATAACTGAAACTATACCCGTTGAACAACAACAACTTGTTTCTCCCTACTCCAAGTCCCTGGCCACCACCATTCTACACTGTGCTTCCATGTGTTTGACTATTCTAGGCACCTCATATAAGTGGAATCATGCAGTGTTTATTCTTCTGTGACTCACTTACTTCATTTAGAATAACGTCTCAGGTTCATGCATATTGTCCCATATGACAAGACTTCTTCCATCCTTAAGGCTGAGTAATACTCCATTGTACTATATATCACATTTTCTTATCCATTCATCTGTCGGTGGATATGTGGGCTGTTTACGTGATGGGCTATTGTGAATACGTATTTCATTTCCTTTGGCTATATACTCAGAAGTGGGGTTGTTGAAACATGTCATAGTTCCACTTTAATACTGTTTTAAAAATATGTTTTTTAAACTGATTTTTAGAGAGAGAGGAGGAGAGAGGGAGAGAGAGAGAGAAACATCGAGAGATACACATCGATCAGTTGCCTTCAGTATGCATGCACTCCAAGTGGGGACTCAACAAGAAACCTGGGCATGTGCCCTGACCAGGAATCAAACCAGCAACCCTTTGGTGCATGGGACAGCACTCCACCAGCTGAGCCACACCTGCCAGAGCCCAGTTTAATACTTTTTTTTTTTATCCTCACCCAAGGACATTTTTGCATTTATCTTCAGATAGAACGGGACAGAGAGAGGGAGGAAGAGAGAGAGAGAAACATCGATGTGAGAGACACATCTACTGGCTGCCACCCGCAGGACCCCAACCAGGGCAGGGGACAAACTGCAACCAAGGTACGTGCCCTTAGCGGGAACCGAACCCGGGTCTCTCTGGTCCTTGGGCCGACGCTCTAACCGCTGAGCCAAATCGGCCAGGGCCAGTTTAATCATTTTTTTAAGGAACTTCCAAACTGTCTCCTTAATGGGGTTACCAGCAAGATGAAGATACCTCGGTTCTTGCCTTCTTGAAGGAAAGATTTCAATCAAGAGACAAAGTGTAGAAAAGCAAGCAAGAATTTATTGGTCACAGCAAAATCACACTTAGAACAGTGAAACTAGGACAGGCATAGAAGCAGTAGCAGGAGAGCTTAGGCTGGGCTGCCATGGCTCACTGGAAGTCAGAAAAGGGGGCCTTGGAGACAGGTTCCGGGGGCTTAGTCCTGGGATGATGAGCTGCTGCTGCCCATTTCTCACTTGGTCTCACGGGGACCCTTAGAGGTTAGGAGATGCGTGCCTGTGGAGGAAGAAGAGGGGGAAGGGAATGGCAAGGGCATGCTCCCTGGACAGAGATCGCCCTGGGGCCTCATTTTCAGGGGCTTTAAAGCCTGGGAGTTTAGGGGATGTCTTAGGGGAGAGCAATAGAATCTTCCTCAGCTTTATGCTGATGTACCAAAATGAGATTTATTCTCTTAATTTCTCTGTCCTTGGGTGTGGCTGGCCAATGGCACTAATTGAATTTGTTATTTATCTCCCTGAGTAGAGTGATCTAAGCTATTTACCCTCTGGTTGGGGAGTAGAAGTGCAAACCATTTACTCTTAAACAACTTTG